ACACACACTGTATATATGAATATTTGTAAATAAACCAGCACTAAAATCAAGAAAGACGGACTCCTTCCTTACTCAGATCTGTCCAGTAAAAAAACTCTACTTGATTCTCACCAATACAATTGTAAGATATATAAGCAAGGAAAATAAATGTATTAAGAATAACCAAAGCTCAGTAGTTCTGGACAATCATCAATACAGCTATAATATGTATAAACAAGGAAAATAAAGTTATGAAAGATAACTAAGGGGAACTAAAGGTATGAGAAGTAGCTAAAGCTAATAAAGTAACTAGAGTCTAAAAGACTCAAATCTTACAGTAACAAGGGAAAAGCGAGGTGTACCAGTTGTATGCTTAATTTCTTCAAGAGTAATCCACCCACTTCCTCCACAAATATTGCTTCGCACAACACTTTCCTTAACCTCTGTAGTTCCTTCAAAAATTACCACAAATGCATGCCTAAAGGCAATTTAGTAACCCCTTATAAAAACAGCTCTAAAAATGTCATAAATTCATATTTTTTTTCCACTTTAAACTATCCAGTCTTTTAGAACTACTCGTTCCTGAAATATACATATAAAATATGAATCATATTTCAGGAATTTGTAACCCTTTATTTGCCAGTATGTTTTCATAACCCCATATTTTTATGGGAAAAATATGAAAAATGACAGTAATTTCCAAAAAATACTTTTCAACCAGGATTTGATTATTTTTATTATTAGGCCCTGGGATGGGTCAATGATTGGTAGCAACATTGATTTTGATGCATTATTTTTTTTTTTTTTGGCAGGGGCAGATTTTAAGGCCCTAGGGGCAAAAAAGCAAGCAGAGGCTGCAAATAGAAATGGAGTGGCTCTTGCAGATAAACTTGTGGCACTTACAGCAGGTGCCTACAACCCTCTTTTTTGTGCACAAGTGGCACTGCCGCCTGTCCTTGACGTTGCTCCTCTGACTGTGCCTGCTGGAACGTACCTCAGCATCTGGTCAAAAGGTTCCATCTATCCATGCAGGACCTGCTACATCAGGCTCGCTCCTGCTGCTATCTTCAGAGCTATCACTCTTAGCTCTCTGTCTGCATGACTACATCCAAAGCTTCTTGCGTGCTAAATCTTCTTGCCATTTCGCCAACTAATACTACTCCCGCCAAGCAAAGTCCAATTTTGTTTGGGTTCTTGCTTGTCATCTTGAATTGTTTATAAAATAGATTGCAGCCTTGTAAGAGAAAGGCCTTATGAAGTCCGACACGCAAACGTGCGCGCATGCACGGACGTTATATAGACACGTGAGCAAATCTGAGCAGAAGACTAGAGGAGATAGATGAGCCGAGAGGAGTTATCCGTGCACATGCGGTAGGTTTTGATTCAGATCTTGAATTATAAAACACAGAATATGGCTTTCTAAGACACGAAGTTGGACACAGACACACCCATGTGGTTGCTTTAGCAGCTAGAACTACGTGTGCGTGTGCGAACACGCGCACAGACACATTTACGTAAATGCAATCAGAGCGCACACACAAATCATATTGATATAACACACAACAGTGATGTACACTTGATCATTTTCAGTCTTTCTGCAAGTCACCTTTGTAAAAACTGGAAAGAATAGTGAAATTTGGATGAATTTGCATGCACGGTTTCAAAATGTGCTCGCGTCACCATCTGGTGGTCAACTACTAAAAGTGCATTTTGAGACCCTCTAGTTTAAAATGGTGTATGGCTTCAGGGCATTGAAATATGACATGATAGGATGTATTGGGCATAAAAAAAAGCATTTTTAATGGTTTTCAATGGTGAGTAACAGTAACCTAGGAATACATTTGTGAGTATTTTTTTATTTCAACCATTTTAAGCAAATTTTAAGGAAGTTACAACACAATTTTTAAGTTTTTATAAAATAAATATCCTGTGCCAAATTTGAGCTACATTCATTTAACACAGCCAACATGGCTTGCAAAATAAAACGCAAATGTTACCTCTAGTGCCCTAAAGCAGATAGTCAAAATAGGCTAGTATTTATGAACCGAGTGGCTCAAGAGTGGGTGTGTGAGGTCACAGAGCTGTTTTTTGTTGTTGTTGTTGTTGTTGTTGACTGATCTGGCTAGGCTTCTGACAACTCTGCCAAAAAAAAAAAAAAAAAACATAATCCAAAATGAAATAAAGGTTGTTACTATGAGAGCAAATTCACACAAAGATTTAAGCGATTTACTTAAAGATAAAATGTTTTTTTTTTCCACTAATCAGTTTTCTGCAGGTGTCTGCTGAAGGATACCCCACTGTTTCTCATTTATAAAGACTGCTTCCCTGTGGACGTGGCAGAGAGCTTTGTAGTGTTTTTGATAGTGCATCCTGGCAATGTGTACAAACCTTGCTGGCTTGTGTTCTTGGCTGAACAACCAGTTTTTTGTCACTTGAGACCATCTGCTCTCTTTGTCTTCCTTATTATTTGAAACCACAGGTCTTTTGACAAATGAGAGGCGCTAAAGTTGTGTGTGGTGTACTGTGTGAGCAGTAATAAGTAAGAGTGTAATCTAAAGTTGTGTCCTTGTGCAGGTAGAGGCAGATGATTTTTACTCATTTTCAAACTTATTTTTTTTATTGCTCTTTTGTTGGCTTTTATGACAAAGCCTTTTTGGGCTTAGCCTAACTTAAACCAATAATGTTATAAAATATTCACATTAATAGAAAGTTAAGTTAATGGCTCATGGACATGTATAGGAACGGATATCATCATCTCATCAGAAACCCTTTGTAATCGTATGGTCACTTCCTAGGTTTTACTTGTTTCCAAAGAAATTGGTTTGGCTCGTTATTTAGCTGCATTCAAGCACATCTTCACTGATTTTATGTAATTTGATTGCAATGTATTTCATTTTAGCTGTTTTACATAGTTTTGTTTCATTTGGTTGTTGTTCTGTAAAAACAAAGTATTTGGGAATGTTGGAAGCAATATCAAGGTAACCTCCTGGTAAACAGGTAAAAACGGGTGGAGCGGCCATGTACTTGCAAGGTTTTAATGAGTAAGTAAAGAAGGAGCACACAAGGGCAAAACAAGTGCATTTGATTGCACACTGCAGTTCCATCTTTTGTACTGCATTGCCATGTGTTTGGATGTTGTATCTGCATTCAGGTAGTATCAGTTTAACCTTCCTCAGTAGCTTAAATATGGAACATTTTGTTTTGCATCCATGCTTTTTTAAATTCTCCTAAAACTGTTAAGTGCAGAGTTTTACTAATATGCTAATATATTGTACTGCATGCTATACTGTAAAGACATTGTATTGTTTTTCTGTTATAATCAAAGTCCTTTTGATCACTTGCATTTTATGACTTTATCTCAAACAGGACCATGATGTTCAGACAATGCTGCAGTCATTTGAGGTCAGGTCTTTCCTTCCAATGTTCCTTCTGGTTCTCTGGCTTCTTGTTGTTCACTCTCTTGAGCACAGGTGAGAACACACAACCACACAGGCACATAAATATGAGCACAGGGATTGTGCCCTGTGTTATCTAGTACAATGAAATCATGACATTATTCATTGAAGCATCTTTTTAGAAATAGCTGAGAGCTTCATGTCTCATCTCGGCCAAATACTGTTGAGCAGCAGGCCTCGGTGGTGTGAGTTTCCCCCCTTGTGTTACCATGGCACTCACAGTTTGTCCAATTAGGTTTTGAGATTATGCCTCCAGATGACTACTAACTCCCTGGTGTTCAAGGGATGTATTTTGTTTCTTGAGGGTGTGACTCTTAATACACTGAATGACAGATCTAAGAATGCACATCTAGTTTATTTTATTCGTGTGTGTGTGTCTCTGTGTGTGTGTATGCTGTCCAAAACTGTATTACAAAGTAAATATTCGAAACAAGAACAAACATATTGTGAAGGGCCTGGTGACAGAACAAATAACAAGCTACAGTGTGTAGGATGCGTTTTACTGAGAGTTGCATTAACATAATTGACCTCCGACTGTTTTTTTTTTTTGCTGCTTTTTGAGTTTTTTTTTAAAATTGAAATTACAGTATGAAATGATATTAAATGGCCCTTAATGTAAATCATGTAAATTCTTTTTAGTGTCATTTGGCTGCAGCTCTTGTATTTGTGTTTTTGTTGCTTTCTTCTTGCGACATGCTATAGGAAAGAATCGGAATCAATATTAAATGTTTCCATAAAACTGTCTGCATTGAAACCATAAACTGTGGCTCAGTAAATGTAAAAACAAAATGTTTGTCCTTGAGGATTAAAGGAAGGGATTAAGAAACCACTACCATGTGCCTGTAATTAATTAAAAGTCTTGTCTGAATTTCTGAAGAATTGAGATGTACGCGAGGAGTGCAGGTGATGGTGACGGGCCCGCAGACCATCCAGAAGGCTGTGGGCGCGAACGTAACTTTGGGCTGCAGCTACACACTAAGCCCCTCTGACACTGGAGTGCTTGACATCGAGTGGTCCATGGCCAGGCGAAACACAATGCATAGTCATCAGACGGTAAGGAGCAAAATGAGAATGGTACAAACTATTTAAAAAAAAGTAGGGTCTGACACATAGTGATTATAGAGCACATTATGCTTCTGGGTCTGGGTAATTTTCCAATCATTTCCAGGAGAAGGTTCAGCTTGACCTACTGTGCAGTGATTAAAAATGTTGTGTTGTTTATGTCTCCATCAAAATATTAGTACCAAATTATAAAGCTCTTTCCAGGAAATGTGTGAAGTTATTAGGAAAAGATATGAAAATTATGGAACCATAAAATGAAATTTTCTACACCACATTTGAGCTAGCCTGTGGATGAGCACCTGCCACCTTTTTCATTTCACAGGAATTGGTTATTTACCACCATGAGGGGACCCTTTTTGCCATACATTTACTGATTGGAGTATATGTTAATGCAGCTTTAATTTTATTTAACACCAATTATAAAAGTCTCTTTCAGGATTATTTGTTGACATACTGTATATTTCTCTTATCTTGTTTTCTATCAGCTAATCACCTATACCACAGGAACCGAATACATCCACGACAGTCGAGCTCTAACAAACGGGCTCAGCTTTGCTGCTCGTGATCCCTCACTGGGTGATGCTTCTCTCTCAATTGCTCTTCTGTCACCTGCTGATAGTGGTACTTACCAGTGTAAAGTGAAGAAACCACCTGGACTGGACATGCGCAGAGTGTCATTGGTTGTAATGGGTAAGACCGGACACTGGGTTGCACCTTACTGCATTATTTATGGCCATCACCATTGACAGAAATTTATTTATTTATTTTTTTGATTTTAAGGAAAATGTAGCTACATAATTCACCTTTATATTTTGGGATGCATATTTTCATAAAAGAGTGAATATTTCCTTGTCACATGTCAGTATGCAATACACTTGTACTTTGCTACAAAGTAAATTCAATACCGTAACTATATCAGATATGATTTTATTGTTTAAGACTCAGCATTGTTATAATGATTCAGACGTTTTCTAGTCATTAGTGGTTTATGGAAGTCAGTTTTATTAAAGGTCACATGGATGCCAGCAAGAAGTGAGATAATGGCCCTCTGAGTGTTTGTTGTTAGAAGACTACTTTTAAAATGGGGGCAAAATGTTTTCTAGTGCATCACTCGGTTAATCTGGAAAGTAAGGTTAGGGCTAGTCTAACTCTACGCGTTGTACACCTAACATTTGTCAGCATAAAGTAATTTACTTGATTCGAGTCCATCTCATCTTGTTTGAAGAGCTTGAGCTGTAACTGGGTTGGAGGAAGGTCGCTTCACTAAAAATGTATTTATTATGTTTTTAAGAATGAAAACCACATTGAATAACTTGATACAAAGATGTTTCATGATTGACTAAATAATTGGCCTGGTTTCAAAAACATCCTTTGGGAATCTTGCAGAATCTGCAGTAAATCAAAATGATGAAATACGTGGTCCATCAGAGGATATGGTTTTAAAGGGGTAGTTTTGATTTGATGTTATTTGATCAGTCAACGCTAACCTATGACAGAGCACTGATTTTATTTCTTTTCCCTATATGGCTTCACTGAAATTGATCACTTTTGCAATTAGATTCACAAAATATGCAGTGCAGTGCACACGAAACCTCATCAGTTTTGTTCATTTGTTCAAGGCCCTTATGCAGCTAATCCTCCAACATTTCTTCTTTTTGTAAGTTCACCATTTATGAATAAAATTACCAGTTACAAGTAGTTTCTCAGACCTTTTTTTGACTCTCACACAAAGTGAGATTAAAAAAAGACACTTGCTAAAAACTCTGTCAGATGAAATCACCTCCCCCTTAATGGAAACTAGCAGATTGTTAAATATCCATAGCAAAGCCTTTACATATCAGTAGAGTAGATAGCCTGAGGCTGTTTTCATGCTGACAGCAACACACAGTTCTCACAGCCAACAAGTCATTTTTATAGATTCTTACCTCTCCTGAGCAGCATAAGTGGTTTAGAAAATGCATGAATGAACGGCTGGATAGATTTTCTTGTTTGCCGCCTTTTATCATGTAAAATGAGAAGTGCACTTAAATGTGTGAAATTCAGTGGTTTTCTCCACGAGTATCATATAACGTATGCTGCACCTTAATTGTTACCAATTTCTATCCTCATTCACCTTTTCAAAACAGGACTGTATTATGTTTGAAATCTTTCAATATTGCCATCTTTATCTTATGAGGCTTACATTCCGTGCCGATTGCAATGTGTAATGAAAGCATGCTTTTGTGTGAGCCATTTCTTTTATTTCTGAGTAATAAAAGCATCACATTGTTTGTATGACAGTCTCTATACAGTGTGTTACTGAGGAATCAAAATGGTTTCTCTCATTTTCATCCTAAAGCTGTTTTTCCAGGAATGGAGTGGACATGACAGCATCAAATGATCTATTTGGTGTATGATTTCAGCAAAGCCGTCTGTGCCTAAGTGCTGGGTGGAGGGAGGGGAGCTGGTTGGCGAGGCTGTGTCTCTGCGCTGCAAGTCTGAAAAAGGTTCCACTCCCTTAAAATACGCGTGGTGGAGAGAAAGTGCAGACCCCATCCCCGCTGCAGCCCCCATCCCTGCTGCAGCCACACAGAGTAAGTATGACCTCTGCTGACGTCATGATGCTACTACACATCAAAGAGAATACGTGTGTGTGTGTGTGTGTGTGTGTGTGTGTGTGCTGGAGTGGGGGTTGGTTGATGTTGTGTGAGGGAAAGCTAAATGAAAACCCTCTTTTTTTTGAATGTATACTAAATTCTTATTATTTTTAGCATTGTACTTATTTCAAGATGTTGGAGTATTGAATTTGATAACATACCATACAAACATTAAAAAACCCAAGAAAAAACAAATTCAAAAGAAGTAATGATTTGCAGCACAACACTAACTGTGCTGTAGATTATTTTCTAGGACATTGGTGCATAGATCATTCTCATTTTCATTGATAATTTTCATCATTGATCATTTCATTCTTTATTGCACCAATGTTCCGAAAGGTTCAAACACTGATTACTGTAAATTGCATTGATCAGTGTCCTCTTGCAGCAGGACATGCAATAACTTTTGTCTGCAGACATAATGGGTGGAACAAATGTAAGCAGGTCTACGCCTAATCGGCAGATTTTCTAGTTTATACAATGACATTCAAGCATTTGTAGCTTAATTGTCATCTATATGTAGTGAAACCACCTAAAAATCCAAATTAATGTATATTCATGTGTTAATCTGTGTTTTTGGGTGTGTTCTCTCAGACAGTTATACCGGGGAGCTGAAAATCAGCAACCACGCGCAGAGCTTCGCAGGCACCTACCTTTGTGAGGCAACTAATGCTGTTGGAGCTGAACACTGCAGGGTCGACCTGAAAGCAAACAAACGTAAGAGAATGCACCCCCCCCCACGAATATTCCTGTCCCCAAACATCACACATGATGCATGCATGCATGCATGCAATCATGAAAGGCCTAGATTTCATCTTTTTAAGTTTTCTCTCTTTCTAGTTGTGCCAGTCTCCTCATTGCTCCACTTCTCACACACTGGATTTTAATCACAGTAACATTGCATAATCATCCTTATTATGTTGTCTAATGATGAGTGAAACTCACAGTCAATGACTAGAAGTAACTTTATTCACAGACGTTTGGGCGTCACCTGTTCATTAGCAGCTTCCTGCTGTTGGGTCACACTGAAACAGATCTGTTGCTTTATACTGTATTTGGGACTCTATTTCAGTAGTCCCTAACAGCTAAGTGTAAACGAAAAAGGCAGCAGCAGCAGAAAATAACTGGACCCCATCAGCTTTGATTACAGTAGCTGTCAGAGAGTATACTGTCTATGTAAATGGTTGTTCTTCATTTAAATGGAACTCCAGGAATTCCCTTGAAAGAGGACAGTCCAGTACAGTAATACCACTGAACAGCTCTGAACACAACAAGAGAAAAACCAGAGCTCTGTCACAACGAATGAATCTAGTGAGTGTGGTGAGCATCAGCCAGTGATTTAGTGTACTATTAGAGAATAAATCATCTCTGGGGTTAGACCTAAACAAGCAATATTTTATTCTGTGGATCCATAAAATGAGTTTTTCTTTTTGTGCTTCATGGTTTGTGGGGCAGACCCCCATCTTACATCTTGTCAAGCCTATAACTCTTGGTGTGAGTGCTCAGATTTTTGGCTTTAGGTAGCAAATCATTCAATTTATTTTCTAGTGCAGGCTGCTGTCCCAGAACAGATGTTCCAATGCTGAGGTTTGGGACATGCTGTGTGAGGCAGATTCTTGCAGTTGAATTACTGAAAAAATAGACACGCAGACATAAAGCTAGAATAAGGGTGCTGTTTTGGGAAATACGCTTATTTTGCTTTCTCTCTGAGAGTTGGATGAGATGTTTTATACTGTGGAAGTAGTCCAGATATGACCTGGACTATTTCTTAGACTGGCACACTAACTGCATCCCAAAATAAGTGAAAGTGCCTCAGTCCAGAGTTTATACCTTGTGATGGACCACAGTCCAGGCGACTTCTAAGCCCATTCCTTCTCTTAGCCTAGGTGTTGTTTATGCTCACTACTAAAAGTTGCTTTCAGCACCTTTGTGACTAGCTCTTAAGAGGAAATTTTTACTTTTAGCACCATTTAAGATGACTCTTGGTGGTAAGCTCTGGTGAATACAGCCACTGGAGTCTTGGCATCACTTACTGTGGCTTGATTCAGGGTAGTTGATTGGGTCTACTCTATTTTGCCTTATGTGTTTAAAAAAAAACAAACACTTGTATTATATGCTGAGGATTCTACAGTGGTTTATGCATCTAGTGACTGTACTAAATTAACTGAAGTGAATTAATGACTGTGCTTGACTGGGTTAACAAAAATAAATAAATAATCCAAGTCTATGATAATTAAGAGTAGATGACGGCTATCTTATTCAATTACATCTCTCAATACTGGGCTAAATTGATCAGATTAGATAATTGGGTATTGTACTTGATCAGCATCTTTCAGTACTGACGGTGTTATAAAGACAATGCTTTAAGAGGTACTAGGAAGTGCTCTTTCTGTGTCGCTCCATCAATAATGAGAAATTAATTACTGCTATCACAATTGAACTATTGTTCAGTCATATGGTCTGTTGCTAATAAGAAAGACCTTTAATAAACTACAAGTGGCTCAGAATAAGGCAGCAAGATTGGTGTTAAGATGCCTATATTATACTAGATCTATTGATATGCATAACAGATTGTCCCGCTTTCCTCTCAGTCAGGATTTGTTTTGATCTACTTTTATTAACTTTTATTAATCTGTTAACAGATTGACTGTGTCTTTATCTGAACAACTGGAATATCTGACTCAAATTCACAATTATTCAGCACAATCTATAAGAAATGGAAATGTAAGAATTGTATACATAATGGAGTAAATAATGGAATAAACTCAGGGAAAGAAAGAATTAGCCAGTATTTCTACTTTTACAAAATACCTAAAATTACAGTTAACCTGACTGAATATCCTTTAGGTTAGAGACTGCTGTTGTAAACTTTATGATGTGTAATTTTTGAACAAGTGGATCCCAGGAAGACTAATAACCACTGTTGTGGTAGCTAATGGAGATCCCCATAAATAAATTAATAAACAAAATAACCCTGAGGCTGCAGGGCAACCTGCAGGGACTCCAGTAAGTTACTACAGCTAGCCAAGAAACAGTCACATTAAACCACAATGTAATATTTTTATACTTTGTTTTATATGACTTAACCAAACAAGGTGTGGCATTTTTATTAATGTGCTTTGGAGGCACTAGTTGTCCACTTTATCTGTGTACAGAGCCAGACTAGCCATTTCCCTGCATCCAGTCTTTGTGCTAAGCTAAGTTAACTAGCTGCTGGCAGCACTGTAGTTTTATATTTAGCATACAGATAAAGGGCATCATCAATCTCAGGGCGATATGTGTTGATCTATTCCTTTAAAACATAGCAGCTTTTTTTAAAGAAAGATTTAGCAATACATGATGTTCATTGTACTACACCTGTAATGAGGAGCTGTGAGAAAGCATTACTTAACCTTAGTGTCTTACTGTAAGCAAACGATAAAAAGTAAGAATAAAAATAAGAATATTTAATTGTTTATACCTCTCTGTCATTGAGCTTCTTCATACTGATTTCACAGCTCCAAACAGAGCAGCAGTGATAGCTGGCACGGTTGTGGGTTCTCTACTTCTCATCTTCACCGGGCTTCTTTACTGGAAGCTGAGGAACAGACATCACTATGAGCAGGAGTCCTCCAATGAGATCAGGTACAAACTGCAGCTCCAGCACAGGTGTTGGCATTTTGATGGTTAGGTAACTACTGAGTGAGTATATGCTTAAGATCCTAGTCATTTTTCTAACTTACTGTAATTAAATGCTAGCATGCTAATGATAAATGGTGGCCATGGAGTACCTTAAACTTGAGCATCTTTTTGTCAGTGCAAACATGCTATTATGCTGGAGTTGACACTCATAGTTCAGAGCACTTCGGTTCTTATGTACAGCCTGCATGCTCATAGCCTTCATATTTACATTTGAGAGTAGCTGAAGTTTGACCACAAATTAGATAATCAGTTTGTCTGGTTCCATCTGTGGGCAGTGTGGTAACTGCAGCGTGTTCTTTCATGAATATATACAGTGGTGTGAAAAAGTGTTTGCCCCCTTACTGATTTCTTATCTTTTTGCATGTTTGTCACACTGTAATGTTTCAGATCGTCAAACAAATTTATATATTAGTCAAAGATAACACAAGTAAACACATCATGCAGTTTTTAAATGAAGGTTTTTATTATTAAGGGAAAACAAAATCCAAAACTATAGAGCCCTGTGTGAACAAGTGTTTGCCCCCCTGTCAAAACACTGGTTTATCGCACCTGAGTTCAATTTCTCTTGCCACACCTGTTCGCAATCAAGAAATCACTTAAATAGGACCTGCCTGACAAAGTGAAGTAGACCAAAAGATCCTCAAAAGCTAGACATCATGCCGAGATCCAAAGAAATTCAAAAACAAATGAGAAAGAGAATAATGGAGCTCTATCAGTCCGGAAAAGGTTATAAAGCCATTTCTAAAGCTTTGGGACTGCAGCGAACCACAGTGAGAGCCATTATCCACAAATGGCGAAAACATGGAACAGTGGAGAACCTTCCCAGGAGTGGCCAGCCGACCAAAATTACCCCAAGAGCGCAGCGACAACTCATCCAAGAGGTCACAAAAGACCCCACAACAACATCCAAAGAACTGCAGGCCTCACTTGCCTCAGTTAAGCTGAGTGTTCATGACTCCACCATAAGAAAGAGACTGGGCAAAAATGGTTTGCATGGCAGAGTTCCAAGACGAAAACCACTGCTGAGCAAAAAGAACATAAAGGCTCGTCTCAGTTTTGCCAGAAAACATCTTGATGATCCCCAAGACTTTTGGGATAATACTCTGTGGACAGACGAGACAAAAGTTGAACTTTTTGGAAGGTGTGTGTCCCATTATGTGTGGCGTAAAAGTAACACCGCATTTCAGAAAAAGAACATCATACCAACAGTAAAATATGGTGGTGGTAGTGGGATGGTCTGGGGCTGTTTTGCTGCTTCAGGCCCTGGAAGACTTGCTGTGATAAATGGAACCATGAATTCTGCTGTGTACCAAAATATCCTGAAGGAGAATGTCCGGCCATCCGTTTGTGACCTCAAGCTGAAGCGAACTTGGGTTCTGCAGCAGGACAATGATCCAAAGCACACCAGCAAGTCCACTTCTGAATGGCTGAAGAAAAACAAAATGAAGACTTTGGAGTGGCCTAGTCAAAGTCCTGACCTGAATCCAATTGAGATGCTGTGGCATGACCTTAAAAAGGCAGTTCATGCCCGAAAACCCTCCAATGTGGCTGACTTACAACAATTCTGCAAAGATGAGTGGGCCAAAATTCCTCCACAGCGCTGTAAAAGACTCATGGCAAGTTATCGAAAACGCTTGATTGCAGTTGTTGCTGCTAAGGGTGGCCCAACCAGTTATTAGGTTTAGGGGGCAAACACTTATTCACACAGGGCTTTGTAGTTTTGGATTTTGTTTTCCCTTAATAATAAAAACCTTCATTTAAAAACTGCATGATGTGTTTACTTGTGTTATCGTTGACTAATATTTAAATTTGTTTGATGATCTGAAACATTACAGTATGACAAACATGCAAAAAGATAAGAAATCAGTAAGGGGGCAAACACGTTTTCACACCACTGTAAGTTTAAGGAAGGGTGGGAAAGTTTAACGAGAACTCTGTTGCTGGAATGTGAAAACAATGACTGCAGGTAGAAACATGATCAGGGAAACTCTACCTTTGTCATCAAAACACCTGCTATAACATGAGGTCATGTATTT